TATTAACCCCATACCGAGTTCCGTCATTAAAGTGCGCTCTGTAGCCCGACAACTAGGTTGTGCAAATTGGTTATGCCTCAGATGTATTGGTTGATGTTCAGTTACACAATATCGAACAGTATTCGCGTCATGTACAGACACGGTAGGCAAACCACGATCTTCAATGTGGTTGAGCACATGGACCTGTAATCGGCGGGAATAGAGGAATGAAGGTGGAAGAAGAAAAGTCAATCGCCTATCACCATTCGCACTATTTCCGGAAAAGACGACCGATCACCGCGGTTCATTCGTAAACTCAGAGCCGACTCGCATCAGTACAATCCCGAGNGAGGAATAAACGCGGAATTAGGCGAAATATCTTTAATCAATGTGGCTGTTACGTGATTTTTCTACCATGTTCGACGCTATCTCGGGTAAGGTATATCCAGTTACAAAGTTTCCCCGAACCCTAATCGATCAACTCATCTTCAACATTCACGCCAACATATTGTAATAGAGGATGATGAAAGCTAATTTGGCTCCAAAATCTACTATACACATCCGACAACTTCCCCTATTGACTGACAAGCAGATAGCTCCATCATCACTAAATACGCATTTAACTCTCCGATTAAAAACAGGTAAAACACTCACGGCCTGGATACAGGAATAAGGGACACAAATCTTGCCCTTTGGTGCATAGCAATAATGGTAGTAGTAGTAGTACTAACAGTTGTAATATTGACCGAAGCAGACGTTTTCTTCGCTCGAATGAGACAGGGACGAATTTTAATCCATTACAGCACCCGAGGAAGCACCCTGGAGTAACCTTTATATGCATGCATTTGCAGACAGACTAAAAAAAAGTAATTCATTGACCCTGTTGTGAAATTCAAATGGTCGCACACATTCGCTGTTACGGTCACCGAGTCTGATAAAGCACGAATGACGAATAAAGGAGATTTTCATTCCACAATGTTATTTCAAAGGCCACTCCCACGCCCTCCGTATTCGGATTTTGAAGTGATTTCGATTGATTTTCCTGGAATAAGTGCATTTTGAAAAGTACCTTCGTTGCGCCTGCTGAGTGATCGAAGTGACACAGAAAAAACTCCCAAAGAGCAGCATGCTGACGCGGGAGGATTAGGACGTGTATTTGTGAAGAGTGACAATAAACAATCCTAACTAAATAACTGGTCTCATTGGTATAAGTGGAGGTATTTAGAAAGTCAGAGGTCTGAGGTTCGAACCCTGTTACGGCCTCGTCGGCGTTCAGCTCATTGTTAACTCTGTTCCATTGGGAGTATTAGGCAGTTTCTTAATTCAATCTCCAGGATCTAGTGTTCCCATAACCGAACAGACGGTCCTCCTGACTGGGGTTCAATTTTTAGTCTAATCATGTCACTAAGATCCGTAATAACTAAAAAACAGTACTCAGGCGACAAATGAATAACACAGTATTTTTATTGATATCGATTGGACTTCATGTGAATTCATTTGTGATGTTAAAATGAAACTAATATCGGAATCAACCTTATCCGGAGGGAAAGGCACGAGCGAGAACATCGTCACTGTAAAATACAAGCAAAATGCAGCACTGAACTAGCGACCAATTTCATACATGCTGTACCAACTTTAGATCAACGAAAAGAAAAAATGAATATCAAAAAGTTTGACTTTAAACCCAAATTCAGTCTGTCCGGAACACCCGTAAGAAGCGGGGGATTGACTGATGAAACTGACTAATACACGTTTTACGGAGTTCGATTCCCGATTCCCGATTCACGCATTGCACTGTTGATGAGACCAGCTGTCCAACTCGTCAATTCACGCTTCATTTGCTCTCTGTGCAGGACAAAATTCACCATGTGATACACATTCTCAAAAGAAACAAGAGCGGGTAAATTTCAATTGTAGCTTGAATGCGAAATTTGTAAACTGGTTCGAACTGTCTTGGGTATCGCATTTGAGCATGTTGGATGTCTGTAGGAGTAGAACCACGTTCCGGAGCGGTTGACAGATTGGTGCGACGACCAGCGCGCACACCTGTTAGTTCGAATGGTGGCTTGCCTCGTGTCACGATCCGCTAGACGACGAGGCGGCATGTGAGCTCAAAGTAGCGTGTATCAGAATTGCACATGATTTATTTGGCCCACGTGCTGGTTAAGATTGTCTACTTTGTGCCAGAGGCTATTTCAACCTCAGCGTGGTCATTACTTATTTCAGTCGCGCTGTTCATTGACCCCCTCTCCCTCGCCCTCCCAAACACACTTGCACTTAAGCAAACGAACTCCAAGATCCGTGACGGATGCAGACAGTGTGTGTGTGTGTGTGTGTGTGTGTGTGTGTGTGCACTACAGACAATGAGAGAAGACAAGCTAAGCACTACTTGCCAACTCTATAGAATCAACCGCAGTCTTGCATACATTTGAGGATGTCCACAGTTTGGTAGAAAAGTAAACGATATTTGGATAGTTGAACTCTGAGAAATTCCAAAGGTGGTGTAAAAGATTCACTTCTCCCGCTTCTCTTATTACCAGGGTGAACATTACTGTGTGACTAGCGCAAATTTAAACCCCATACATGGACAAGAACTTAGCTAGATAAAACGCTAGAGTCAGAAAGAAACAATGTAAATGAAGTGCGTTCGAAACAGAGTAATTTTAGCTTCATTCGGACAGAGGGCACATTTCCTTTACGCCTGGCGGATAAAGTAAACAAAAGATAACGACGACCGCTTCATTAGCAACATCATTTTCGTGAAGAAAATAGATGGATGGTGCGGAGCGGAGCGGTAAAAACATACAAACATTATCGGTTCATCGCGTGTATTTTGTGTTCCCAAGCCTCACCCTCCCCGCTTCGGATCGTGATCGTGGTCCATTATTCGCTAATACTTGTGGTGCATTTAATGTATATCAAATAAATGGACCTGGAAAGATTTTCATCACAACTATTTTTACTGCAAAATATGAAGTCATTCCCGCCCTCAGATCAATTTGGTCCGTGAGATGTGCAAATACACTGATCCGCTCTAATTCACGATTTTCTCTGTCAATTTACTCATAAAATCGACTGAAGATAAAGCTCACCTGTTTAAGCTTCAAACAAGACTCGATCCCGGCTGCACACGTGGTGGGTTGCAACAGTTTGGCATCCATGGTATCGCAGGCCTCCTTCTCAAAAGAATTGCATTCGTAACACTCGAGCCCATAGCTCTGTTGGACGGTACAGACGGCCAGGAGGAATAGTGGCAAGCAGATCTGTGACATCATGTTTTCCGGATTCCGGTAAATCTGATGAAATGCGGTCCAGAAAATCGGACTGTAATCGATCAATAGGGACTGAGACTGCACCGAACCCTGAAGAGTGGATCGGATAAAAATGATCTCAACCGCCAAATGTTACGCACGGACGCACATTCACCCAACCAATCGGATGGTTTGATGGTATTGTGCACAATCTGAAACCCTACCATTCAATCAAAGCCTATAATATTGCGCCCATTCCGTCATCCAGCCTGTGCAATGCTCCGGGATGGGGGGGGGATAAAGATAACCAATCCTATTGGACCCTTGTGTGACGGAACATAATGTGCGGCGCATCGATCATCAAATTGAACTATGCGTAGACACGCTTGGCCTCATGTATGCATGTACGGATACAAATGAACGCACACAAAACGCAGAAACATTCCATCGATGGGGCCGGCCACAATATCGATCGGCTTAGGCACGCGATTACCGCCTGGCTTCACATCCGGTCTCATTCTGCCGTATACAAAACGGAAAGCGAAGGTGACCACTCAGAACCATGCAGCTCCAAGGTCAGCATGACCTTGTGGGTGTGCGTTTGCAAACTCTATGCATGTGTGCGTCAGTATGTCCGTGCGTACGTGCGTTCGTATCTGTGTTTGAGCGTGTGCGTGTGTGCAATGCGCGCATTGGCACTCGTAAAACGCGCTTTCGAGACGCGGGTAATCTGGTCATCATCAGAGTGAGGGTGAGCTGCTACCGATGAGCCATGGGGTGTATTGGGTGAAAAAGGCACGCTAAAAAGAGGCACAAGTTGATCTTTAACCGCATCTATACCATTTTAAGTTAGATTTGAGAAACTATAGTTTTCATTTTGAATACAGAAATCATAACTTCGAATTGAGAACGAATCGCTGTGGTTGTATCCGCTTCCTTTCAGCACACCTCATTGGTCAACTGATCACATTTTTTCTACCCCCGGATTGACCACATGTCTTCCCACGCTCTTTCTGTGTGGAAATGAGGCACACCTCAGTCGAGTTCTGTGACGGACGTCGAATCGGTGGTTCGGTGAAGCCATGCTATTTGCGTATGACAACCAAGGCGGACGCCACCCGATAAGCATGAAGGGTGACGCACTGTTTCGTGCCCACTAACATTGACGATAGCTCAATAATCAAAGCTGACCAAAGCAACTACGACCAGGGACGAGTTTTGTGCTTACGGTGCAATCCGAGCGATGTACGAGAATCATGGGTCTATGTGAATAACAATATTTGTTCAGTGACAGAGGTTAGAGTTCTTGAGGTGAACTTGGGTGAATAGGCTGGCTGTCATCAATGGTTTATCAACCAGAACCAGTTACACCTTAAGTGTACCTCGCCCATTCCTGACTCAGCCCCCCGAAACGAACGTAACAAAACGCAGTCGATCTGTTTGTTAAAAAGAGTTGCCCGTTTTCAGAATAAGTATTGTTGGGTAAGAAACATCGACAAATGACAATTTTTATTACACAATGCAACCAGTGTCTGCTCAGCTCCGGCAAACGGTACCCATGAAGCAGATCACTGTCGTTTGCGACAATGCTCCTTGCCACAATAGACTGGAGGAGATATTCACTCTCGGTGAATATCGTGAGGCAAAGCTGCTGAGGATGCCACCATACTCGCCAATGCTCAATCCAATTGAGCATATGTGGAGCTTGATTAAGAGCAAAGTAAAGCCTGATTTGAGCGATGCTTATCCGAGCCTCCTTCAAGAGGATCCTGAAGGTATAATCAATCAAGCATAATGGCGAATGCAGTTCTTGGAGCAGTCAGCTACGAGAGCGATATCGTCGATCCCCGATTCTCATTGAGCTGGGTTCGTGCGACATTTGCAGACATTTTACATGCCTGCTCTTGATGGTGAAGACATGGGAGACCACTGAGATTGGTTCCAAAAGAGAACGTAGAAACTGCCATTCCCAAGGTAACCACAGATTGATTTCATGGTTGTTGTTTTGATTTTTGGACTTATTCACTTCGCCATAGAATGCATTCGGTAGGGAGTAATGGAAGTGACGGTGGATTTACTTTAAGTTTGAACGGTAAAAAAACGCACAGGAGAAAGGACTACATCATGATTTCATTTAGCATATAAGGGATGATAACGTCGTAGACTTTTCATTGAGCAATCTCAGCGATCAACAGGAGAGGAAAGAGCCTTAATAATCATAGGCATGGAAGTGATGCGAACATCTCGCCATGTACCAACTAGTCGATCTAACTTATAGATACTAATGACGTTCGTTTCCGTCGAATATTTTTGCAAATCTGCCGGAAGATTGCTGCAGGTTATTCTTAGTGTCCTCACATTGGTCAATGTGGTGGCTGACCGCCAGCATATAAAAAAATTTCCACTGTAATGCTGTGTGAAATACCCCTTTAGAACACCATTTCCCAAGAAGCTTTAGACAAAAACCGATAATAATCAAGCCTCGACTGTGGTAATTATAACTTACGTTGTATCGTGAATAAACTGACGATAGTTATTTGAGTGTACTTTTACGAACGGTTTGTTATCCTCAGCAGGATTTTGTATCAACTTCTGATAAACAGAGTTCACTTGTTAATGCAAAACAATGTATCGTTTGAATTACACTTGAGATTTTTACTTCTAGGAGTATCGCGTGTTATACAGAAACATTGAAGCTGTAAGAGATGTGTCAAAAGATTTGACGAGACGGGCACATCGGTTTAAGCTTCTCTAATCAACATGCGCTGCAGCATGCAACCCCCACACGTTTTTATTTCTTAACCAAGCTTTGCAGCATCAACATTTATGGGGAATAATTTTTCGAAACATTCGTTGAGTTCAGAGTATTCCGATAGTTTTTGTTATGACTCGCCTACAGCGGTGTGACTAAAGGTTGTGCGTCGAGGCTAAAGGAATGTGGTTTTTGGCTAAAGTCTTTAGGGTTTTTGCTAAAGGATTACAGGTTGAGGCTAAAGGATTACAGGTTTTGGCTAAAGCTTGATGGGAAAAGGTGTAGTTAACCAGTGGGGCTTATACTATGTGGTGTGGGGAGTGTCTCACAGACTTCTATTCAATTGAAACATCTTCAGTTTTGGTTGAATGTGACGTGACCTAAAAGTGCTCCAATCCATCAGACCCGCCAGTTTTGTTCATCTGAGATCAGGATTGGTCATTATGATGATCTATTGATGCGAGATAACGCATTACAGCGTTACAGTCTCCAGATAGCCAATTGGATTCCATCAATGCGAACCAATGGGACAAAATATGATGCAATCATGAGTCGTATACGCCAGCACAAACGGGAACGGTATTTTTCGGGTGACAAATAATCAACAATTTTGATTACTCCCGAAAAAACTAACAGTTATCTGTTCGTGGTTTGCCTCCTACCTGCCGGTTTTGTGAATTCTGCTGGCGGATTTCCAGTCCAATGCCGACCGAGAGCACTGGGAAAGTGTGTGATCAGAACCGAACTAGACGTAGCGAATTTATTTGCTTTGGGCACCTTGTTGTTCAATGAATGCCAATGCGAAGTTTCTCGAAAATGATACCAAACAATACTGGTAGTGCAATGCTTCGAGTTGTGACGAAAAACAATCGTCAATGTGATCTAAGTGCGGTTATCACGTAACAGCATCAGCAATGTACAAGCTGATAAAAGTCAGCAGATTGGTGCAATCAGCAACGTTTCTGTAATAATCGAATAGGAACCGGAATTGAACAGTGCGAACTTGAACTCGGACTGAAAAC